GATTCAACTCAACAGCTGTTGGTAAAACATATTTAAATCGTTTGTTTATCTTCGAGATCATAAATTCTTGTGCCATATTGTTAAATTGTCTGACATTTTTTGAATAAGGTCCAAACACCTCTGGGTGTTTTTGTCAAATATGACCTGAGATTTCAATTTGTTATTTTTTTAACTTTTAATCAGCAAGTATTGTGGGCCGTGGACTTATGAGCTTAAGGAGTGATCCTAGAAGGGTCCAAAAAACCACTTCTGTCTCTAGTTAAGATTCACTCAAAATAGTTTTCACCTTTTTAATTTCCGAGTGTAAGCTATCGTGTAGAATTGTAGATGGTAAAACCCTAACCAAAATTTGTTTCATCCCTACCCCTAATTTGATGACGTCATCTCAAAATTTTTCAAAACAGATCGTTTTTCAATTTTCTAAACTCACTTCTATAATTGTGTGACTAGGTGGTGTGAACAATAGTTTTTATTTCTACTACCCTTAAAAAGTGCCTTTTATCCTTGACTAGCAGTATCCAGTAATTAAAAATAAAACCTCTACCCTTGCATTTGGACCCTTCAAGCCGACGTCATCTTGGGTTTGTAGCAGCACTTCCGGAATCAAATTTCTTGCCCCGAAATTATTAAAATTCTGCATTGTCAACTCGATTCACACTACTCCGATTCGGTTTAGTTACACGAGGGGACAGATAATTAGTGCCGCTTGCGCAATTTGGCCCGACGAAACGAAGCCGACGATTCGTGCATCCCGTGGACAACTTCTTGCAGAGATCGCTGACGCTGCGGAAGCCCTAGGTCCGTAATCGTGGTAATAACCAACACAGAAAATGGCGGTGTTTTGGCCGGAAACGCTCATCGGTCACGTAGCACGGACATTTGATTGACGCGGCACGCCACCTACCATTTGTTATTCATTCACCGTGTCCGACTACATTGGTTCCTTATTTAATTAATGTCGCTACAAGTCGCCCAGGATGATGCGGGCGCCGCGATCGATTTTTTCCAGAAATGGAGTTGGGGCCAGAAGGAGAAAAGTCATTTGGTCCAGGTCCATGATAAGGGTAATGAATCAAGGCGGCCGCGGTATAAGGAATGGAACGGAACCGGAAGGCAGCCGGCAGCACTGGACACAATTTCCGGGCGCAGGCCTATATAGGAGCTGTCAACCGGACCCCGCGACCAATCTAGGATGACCAATGGCCGTTCAAGTCCGGAATCAGGATTGCACGTTAATGTCCTGGCGCTCTTTCCGTACGCCAGGACGATATTTCAGCCGGAATTATCCTCGGCAGGATTAGCGCCGGGGAGTCTTCTCGAGCTGGGAAGTGATGAGGTTACACCTTTGCTAACTGATAGCTTGGTGTTTTCTTGTCTTTTTTTTCAGTGAGGTACTCTCGGTTTCTACAGGGTCTTTAGTGGAACAATGACACCACTGAAACGAAAGATCCGCTCACGTACTCGTATACACGATCTATTGTGTGTAGCAATCCCTATAAAGTAAATAGTAGAAACAATGAATGAAGACACGGTTTCATTAAGAATGAAAATGTTGACACTGCCAGGTATGTCTGGCACCACTAGAATCAATTAACATAATTTTTGGAACAATTTTCACTAATACGTTCTTGTCATAAGTTTGACCCAAAAAACGGTTCTGTGCTAGTTTTCTGGTATTTTCAGTCACGGATTTTACCACGAAAGGTGTCTGTATTTGTACACCATTGCATCTGGTTAAGTTTGGGTCTACAGATAAACATCTCGATCCCAGAAGTAGGTCTTCCGTTTCCGTCTATTTGTCGTCTGTTGGCGATTTTATTGATTACTGTGAAATCCCCACTAACAACTTGATCATGCCATCAGAAACAATTTTTACGAAGAATAAGTCACTATAAATACATGCATAGCACGCCTTTTTATTTACAGTTTAACAATCCACTCCTATTTTTATTTTATAGGGGTTATCATAAAAAATAGAATTCATGGTCATTTTTTAACGACTGAAAGATTGCTGTTCTTATTTTTGAAAGAATTTGAAAAAATCTCGGAATTCTGGTGTTTTGTTTTTGAAAGAATCTTTGTAGCCCTTGTGTTTCGATTTTAAAATTTGAAAGAACTTTTTGGAAACCCTTGGGTGTTCTATTTTTGATATCTATTTAAATAACTCTAGACAATCTTTTTCCTAAAACCTGGCTGTCGTATTAACTAGTTTTCTAATTTTATTGGCATAGCTTTTGCGGTGGTTCAAAAATAATTTAGGGATGTTTTAAGTTTGAATATCACAATTCAAAAATGCAACTAACAATGCTTATTTTATATCACTACGTTCGGAAAGAATACTACTATATAATTATTATGCACTTGTACTATAAATACACAACCGCGTGATCAGAAATGACAAAGTCTGTTGGCAATCCTGGATTTTTAGTTGAAATTGGTATCATGTTTTCAACAATTTCCGGTTGTCAACTGATAAGATTGACAGATTGTTGACATTATTACCTTGCAAAATCCAAAATATGTTGACCTAAATTTGTCGCATGTCACTATTGACGTATCTGTCACACAAGTACTTCCGTTATGCCAACATAAACGCAAGAAAAATTCACATTTTGGTTTAAAAAGTATTCCCAACAGACAGACTCAGTCATTTCTTATCACACGGAATATATCTTGAGAACGGACAAAGGTTAAATTTCGAAATTTTTTAAATGTGTATTTTCGAAAATTTAAACAATCGAGTGAATTTTGAGGAATAAAATCGTTCAGAGTTCGATTCTTTGCCAGTTATAATCGTTAAATCAGTAATTCCGGGCAAAAATCAGCCTCTGCAGGTGATATAATTTAGTGTTTTCTGATATTGGCACTACTGATAATAAAACCTGTGTTACCATATATTGGTTTGTGTATTTCACAATTAAGTTGTTATTGCTAATTTTCGAAACATAGAAAGAGAGTTACGAGGAGTCTTTACGATTAGAGCATGGGATTTTTAACATATTTTCAGAATGTCGTATCTCCATTATTAACAGACTTATTATGAAATTTTAACCTGTCCCATTAATCATCTTCTTTTTCGAATTTTGGTCAATTTTTCATTACGTACCTATTTTTAAAAATTCATAGGATCTCAGTTACTTGTGGAAATTTCGGAACGCGGTTTTCGCCGCTGTTCTAGATAGATTACAGAACTCTAGACACTACACACGCAATATTATAGACTTTTTTTAATGGAAATGAGATACAGTAGAATAAAAATAGCTTTTACTGTATCTTAATTTCGACAAAAATGTCGATATTTCTTGGATAGTGTCTAAGAGTGCTCTAAGCTGAAAATAGTGGCGAAAACCGCGCTCTGAAATTTCCATATATAATAACTCAGATATTGGTTTTTAAAAACACATGATGAAAAATTTCAACAAAATTTAAATGGTTAACTGTTTTTTTTAAACTGTCATTGTGTTATATAAGAAATTTGTGGACAAGTTATATTTAAAATTTCATAGCAATTTCTGAAAATGTATGCAACACTCCACAACCGAAAACTTAGGAGCTGGTTTTAATGCTGACGAAAAATTAGTTAGTGGAGTAATTGACGATTTCGGTCAAGAAAAAAAGAAATTGCAGTTTTTTTTTATTAATTTTATAACTTATAAGTTTCTGTATACTGTGTTTTGTTTATAGTGTTTTAGGGTTATTTGTAAGTAGATTTGATTATTAACTATTACAGTTGATCATTAAAATATATATTTATAATATTAAAATTGCTTTTGAATAATAGGTACGTTTTTTGGCGGCAGAAATTGAGTATTGCCATTTTTCATCAATCAGAGACTAAATTTATCTTTTTCAAGAGTCCACATTTTTCTTCAACCTTTGTGATTTAGAGAAATAAACGTTACAATTTGATTCAAAGTTCGAAAACTAATTGACAATTTGATTAAGCTCGAAATAATAATAATGTACCTACGAATCTGACTTTATTTTCAGATTTCAATATAGGTAAGCCGGAGTAAAACGTACAGCTTATATGTAATAATTTTCAACTGTAACGAACTGTAGGATTCATGACACTAGAGGATAAAATTAAAATATTTACTTAGATACTCACCTTCTGTGACTTTGGTTAAGTGTGTTGCTACATTAAAGCTTATACTATAACTGCTGGATTTTCGAATTAATACTTTTTAAAATAATGTCTTTACAAACTAATAATTAAAGTTGTATCCTAGCACATCATTAACAAAATATGTTAATTTCTAAGTTCACTTTCTTTTCATGGTCTTAACACTGCGAAATTTTCTATCGAAAATTTAAAAAGGAAATTGCTGGAACAAACCTTTAGAACGTAAAGTTCTTCTTTAAAGTTTTTTTGTAAGTGAGAACATATAGAAAAAGAAGCATTCAATGATTGGGTACTTACCTATTGTGTCGAGATTTACCACTGCACTAGTTTGGCTTGCGACTGGTTAATTAACTTGTTATTAACGGAGTTGTTTAAGTGTTAGTATTATTTTCGTTTTTTAACAAGGATTTTAGGAGACATTCATTAGTAGATTATTAGTTACTTTGTTGTTTATTAGTATTGAAATTTGAAATAATTGTTTATTTACATGAACATAAATTGCACTTAATTAACAATAATTCAATCACAGTACAGAAAAGTTAAACGTCCCATCTTGTATCATAAATACGAAAATAATGCGATCGTGACAATTGGAGGAAACTAAAATTAAAAATATAGAAAAAATTTGGAAAAGAACGTGCATAACAAAAAAGGAAAACAATAGGTGCTATATCTGTCGGCCTTGTGGCCGTGGTTTGTTGAGGGTTTGTTTCCCTTTTTGTGCTACGCACTGCTGTACATTGTCGGACTTGTGTGACGGGGGGGCGGGAGGGGAGGACTGTCACATATAGCACTACAGTAAAACTAGAATTTGTACTATTATTATATTAAAATGAGTGTGGAGGGATAGTGGGTCGGTAGTATTAAAAACACATTTTATATAAGTACACAAGATGTAGCATTTAATGCTCACGTTTCAAAAAAACACTATACAGAGGACACGGCGTTACCAAATTAGTTTAGAGGTATCTCGTCCCATAATCGTTTATAATATTAATATATACTTTCATTAAAAAGCAGAACACAATAAAGTTTCCTCTCATACATAACACAGAGGTACGATATTCTCTCATTGATCTGTATTGATTTTTAGTTTTTTTTTCGTATACATTGGATAAGGCGAATAATGATTCATGATGGAAATCACTTAAAACGAACAGCCAACATTCTCATCGGAGGTAATTGTATATACAAAAAACGATTGGGCCTGGGGCAGAGGGAATCGTATCGTGTCGGCGCGGGCATTAAATATGTACAACACACTCGAGAGTACATCAGATCAAAAACTATAATCGGAGTGTAAAAATTGGTATACTTGTATGGCCCCCCGCCCTGACCCTAACAAAGGTAACGAAGAATACACACAAGTTTCAAACAATAGGTGAGTGTGAGCCGTGCAACTCCGCCTCGTCGCCGCCATTGTGTACGCCATAATTTCATATAATAATAATAACCTATAACATCACTAAAGTCGTATACGTCGTGTATTGGGGGCGGCGTTCAGGTCGAAGCCGCACGGACCCCGAAAGTAGTCCAGGACAAGGTATGATGTTTTAATTTTGAATCAAACGAAACGGAATTCCGCCTTGTCGCAGAACTTTAACGTGCGAGAGGACTGACTGGGTTCTTCTAGAGTGCCTTTCTTTTTACAAAACAACAATAACAATAACCAGGCAAGGCTTGTGCGGGCACTCCGGAATCATCCGGTCACTCCTCCGTTTGTCCCTGGCGAGTAACTAAAGACGGAACAACAAAATCATCAGAGTGGTACAAGAAACAGAAATCTGCGTGTGTGTGATTGTTGAAATAACTATAACAGTGGTACGATAATTTGGGTTTCAGCCATGGACCACCTGAGTGACTTTGCGACATTCTGTATACTTGTGTATTGATATTATTATTCTAGTCGTAGGGCGAAGGGGTCCGTTTTGGCCACCTCCACGACGATTTGTTCTCTAGGTTCAGTAGTTACGTATATCGTATCGTATATCATCATCGGGACAGGGAGAGTTCGGGTTTTCCTCAAATAGCAAAAAAATCACAACAGATATAACAACTAGTAATTTACAACAGCACAACCTTGGATTATTTTTTTGTACGCGTCGTACTTTTTGAAGATTTTTTTTTTAAGAAACGTGACGGCGGACAGAGTGAAGAAAAGGAGGAGGATCGGGCTGATCGTTTCTGGACTGGATGGGGACTAGGACGAGGGTGTTGTAAGGTAACACATCGAGGAACCTAAGCTACGAGACCACATCACTTTACACGGTTGCGGCTGTCCCTTCAGTATACACCGCGGTCCGGGCACCGCTCCGGGGTCGGCCCGCACCTACCACTATCTATGTACAGCAGTCAGCACACGAGTAGTCTAATACTTTTTGTACAAGTCCTTCCCGTTAACTAAACACTGGGGCACTACATTTACACTTTGTACAGAGAATAATCACATTTAAGAGTCGCATATTTCTATGTCCATTGTCGTTGTCACTAGCGAGGGGGGATCTGGAAAAAAAAAATTCTGTCAAACAAACCTGACGACAACATGGGGCGTGTCAGACCATCGGAACAACAGATTCTTTTATCACTAACCACATTTTTATTTCATGTTGAACCTTTTACTGCACCGTCTACATTACAACACTACATTCTCAAACACTAATTGCGCAAATTGAATTACTGTGTACTTTCCTAGTACAAAAACAAAACGTTATTAAGCAAGTCTTGTTCAGATAAAGATATCTCTTTTACGGTTACTCGAAACGCGCCGGCTCAAATGAAATTTGCTAATAAAAGAACAATTTTGTAGTTGTTGGAGGTGGGTTCAATGTTTTCAACTTGTTAAAAGTGCATCGAACGTCAATCGATGGTGGAATTTGCATAAAAAATCTACCCTCGCAACGGTGTAGTGATAAATTTTTGAACGGTTGTTCCGCGTCCCCTGCCAGGGTGCATTTTTCAGTTTCGTGCTTACCTCACAGGTGGTGTCCGTAGTACTCTGCGGGATAGTGCGCGTACTGATTGTGGAAGGCTGGATCACCCGGCGGCCGGTGCATCATCTGCTGGCCGTCCATCATGTATCCCATGGTACCGTCTGGACTGTACGCTCCGCTAGGTCCTGCGTGCGGAGAAAAGACTATTAGTGGTGTAACACGCTGCCCCTGTACTGCATCTGCAGCTGAATATCCCTGCACCGCGTCCTTTTCCCGAAAAATGTCAACGTCGTGATGGATCGGTCCGCGAGGGTCAACGGTTCTCTTCGCTATTTCTCTTCGCCCGTCTCGAACAGAAACAGAACGAGAGCCTCGGAGAATCGATAGCGCACAAACCATTAATAATACGGCTTTTGCAAAACGCCGAAATGAAAAAATAGAGGCTCGGCGTAACGATAACCGATCATACAAGACTTTCCACTTACAATTCATATCGAAACGATTGCCCGGCATGGGATCGGTCCATATCTTCGTAAAAATGAACACAACAACGTTAGGCTTTAATGGAAATCACGATTCATTAAAAATGAGATAAGGGACGGCGGGACTGCAACCAAGACAAGATAACGTGTGCGGCTCGGTGCATCTTGCACGAATGACCAGACGTGGACTTTTTCACGCGATCCCACGGTTTTTTAACGAACCAGTCTACATTAATTATCGAATTACGCACTGGTTGCCAACCGAAAAGGAAATCTGCATAAAACGACGATCGGCCGCAAAAGGCGGCCACCAATTACGATTTCCGCTCGTACGAGGTCGCTCAGACACACTCGTTAAACTTTTTGGCAACTTATCCGTCTCGAAGTCGATTGCTGGACCATCCTGGGCGAAATTCTACAAGGACGCGATGCAGGGAAGGCGCCTCGACGATGACGCCGTCGACCGCTCGGTCAAGTAACTCACCTGCTCTATTCGACTGATCGATCATGGGCTGAACTATTCTCCGCCTGGCATTGATGAACCTGAAACAAAGAACGTGGCATCAGTACAGCACAACGTGGATGGAGCGACGCAGGATGGCGGTGGTGGCGTCGGTCGGACCTGTCAGCGTCCATCAAAATCGCGCTGGCGCTAATGCGTTCCGACACCGGAAATGATTGGGTTTTCTGGCGACCGATTGGTGGCGCTTCCGGCGCAAATGTATACTACATACACGCACACCAGTCGCTAAATTGCGTAAAGATGGAACGAACAGAAATCGATGCGGCGTATTTCCTCTCCTTTTATGAATAATACAGTGAACGATGCAACTGTAATAGTCGTCGTGGGAAGAGCCCGCTCCGAACCCACCGAGCCCTAATGGATAGGGGAAACTGATCCTACAAAATTCCCAGTAATTTTGTTTATGTGTGACGCGGCTCCCGGATCTGCCCAGAGTTGGCGGATAATCGAAATACGGCCCGTACGCGATGCCGCCGGTCTGCCGGCTCTTCCATTCTCATCAAGGTATCAAAGTCCGTCCCTGGAGACAGCGCGCAATGAGTTAAATCATGCGGTCGTCAAGAGTGGCCATGGTTCTTCGCGAGAATCCACGCCGAATCTTGCGCGAAAATTAAAGAAGGGTTTCCGCCACACATGTGACTGGAGGGAATAAAGAAAACAGTAATTGCAAGATCTCAGGCCGTGCGTCTTTATGGACCCGGGTGCCGCAATAAATTCCCGGTTTAATATCTCCCGGCACATAAACGGCAAGCTGACGCTGGAGCGATGATGGAGTCCACGTCGGGTTGACCCGTGTCGCAGATGGTGCCATTTGCTAACGACATAATTACCAGCGGCGTTTGTGACCCCTCGCAGGACCAATTTCGAATATCACGTATTGGAACAAATCATCGCGACGTCCAGCGCCAAAGATCGCCCCCCTTTATTTAAGCTCGAGCAAGACACGCATAGAAATCGCGCTCAAACAGGCAATAACGCACATTTAGCCGAGCCCCGGCCAATTTCTTCAGATTTTCGGGAAATTGGCGGGCGTAGGTTGCGTGCGGAATAGACAAACATATTGGGAACTCAACAATTAGTCCACGATGTCGCTAAACTAATAATCGCATGGATTTACAAAGTGTCTGTAGTCTACCAAAGACGCGGAAGAAGTAATAATAGCAATAATGGTATAGGGTAAATGTGTACAAGAGTACGCACTTAGTGTAAAACTGTCAACAACTTTTTAATTTTTGTGGATAGACAAATTTTATGATATGGGTTCGTTATATACATGTTTAGAGATCAGATATATTTAATTGTACGTCCCAAGACCACTATATTTTAAGAGTAATTTCAATTTATGTCAAGACGTGTAAATGCGCACTCTTAGACAGTTCATTGCACAAGAGTGCGCATTTGAACGCTTATGGGTGCGCATTACATTTTATGAAAAAATATTTGTTTCTAAGGTGAAAATAAATGGGAATAAGTGACGACAGACTACACATAAAACGGGAGACCTATTTCTTCGTAGTCTAAGGGTCTTGAAAAGTCGAGAAAACGTAAAAATAGAGAGTCGATCGACGGACTCGATTACAACACGCTCAGGAAGTAAAAATAAAAAAAAAATCACCATAACCACCACCACACAACTTGAAATGCAGTACAAAGTAGTAGAGTTAAATAATTCATTATCGTATGATATGTATCTCCAAGACTATTAGACTACGTATTGCAAGCAATGCGCACTCTTATACAATACCTCGCTGCGCACTCTTGTACATTTGTAAATAACCTAATGTTTTCAAAGTTAAAAGCTTTTGATGGATAGAAAGTATAAAACTGTTAGTGTATAACGAGACCTTAAAAGTTACAGCTAATGAAAATTATTACTGTAAAATAAAAGAACTGGTACGTACCTTACAAAAAACTAAAACTATGAGCGGTGAAAATTACATCCACACAACGTATGAACATAAAATCGTCAGTACGACCAAACTATAAACTATATTCAGGTCACTTTTGCACCTTTATCTCAGGTTTAGCATTAAGTTTTGAATGGTATAACTTCATCTTACCCAGATGGCACTAATAAGCAGAAATCATCACTGCGTACTCTTATACATATTCGCACTCTTGTACACATTTACCCTATAGTTTCAATGTACTAAACCAGATACAAGAAAATTGATTAAAAAGACCGACTTGCAAAGTTGCATAAGCACTTGCCAACTAGTACCCAATATATCTACTACGAACTGAATATTGTGAAGTCGACACATGTTAACAACTGGAGAATGCATATGTTGATTGTTATGAGCTACACTGTATGTAAATGTTCCATTTAAAATTTGTACTCTCGTCTAGTTTGTAGCGGTACAAGATACACTCTCCAAGTAAATCGTCATACGAGAAATTCGGATTTGTTTTCTACATTTTTCTTAAAGAATAAGGACTTCCAGCGTACTAAATTTCAATCTTTACTTTTCTTAATAACTCCTACATCGTCAGGATACGGCAAGCATTGTCCGCGATCAGCTCGTAAATCGTTTATTAAAATAGCAAAGAGTAAAGGTCCCAAGTTGGACTCTTGACAAACACCACTTTTACAATCAGATAAAGGCGAATTATAGCCTAGGTATTCTATATATACCTTCTGATTTACTAAGATTTATTAAATTATTGCTTATGCCAACTTACTTAAAGCTTATTTAAAGAATGTCGTGATTGTTTCACATTGTCCAAGGCCGTAACAGCATCTGTACATACAGCATCTACTCGGTAGTTTTAAATCAAGATAATGCAAGATATATTGGACGAATAAACACACAATGGTGCAGGTGGATCTCCATGTATATAACAATCATGAACATACCCGGAAATAATTTAGCAAAATTTGGAATTATGGCAACAGGTCTATAATTTCTTGGGTCTGATTTACCACCACATTTGTGTATAGGCCCCGCGTTTGCCGTTTTTCGGGATTTTGGATAAGTAGGAGACGTAGATGAAAGAGTAAATAAATGGCAGATGAAGAGATTGCGTGAATTTAGAAGATGTGTGAAAAACGGGGTGAGAAATCCATAGTTCGAGGTGTGAGGAGTCTAATTGGCGGAGTGGGCCGGATTATTAAGTGGCAGCGTCTTGGCTATTACCTTGATGGATCTGCGTCGTGATTATTTGCATGCGTCCCGTAATCATCCCCGGCTGGTGCGAAATACTACGTGGAGAGTGCTTGCGCGATGGTCTCGCGTTTATTATCGAGCGTGTGGATCCCAATTAAGAGGCAGCAGCTGTGAAAATTAATGGAGCACAGCTTTTAAGATGTAATTGGGGGCATTCATAACTCTGCGCCAGCAGTGGCAAAGCGCGTGCTGTTGCCGCCAATACTGTATACTGCGACATCTGATTCCCGTCAACAAACAGCTCTTAATAATACACACACACGTCGTCTCTAGTAATGTAATTGTTTTCATGTCGAACCCTTCCTTGTAATCTATCATTTGTAAGCAAGGGGTGGCGCAGAGCCGATTTCTCATCGGCCCTTTAACGCGGAAACGATAATTGTAGACGGAATAATGTTTGTGCGAAGCGGAGGCGGCGGACAAGTGTCAGGGGGTGAAAAGAGCGATGCCGAGTCAGCCGGCCGATCATTAGGCGGATTACGGCCCCGCACCGTCGCATTCCGTGAAACCTTACACCAAAGGGTTGACGAAAACAACACCGGGAACCGCCGCCGCAGCCTCCAATCAATATACGCAAATATCCGAGCAGATTTCGTCGTTTCCGTCATTACGCGTCTTGTAAACGTAAACAAAGGTGACTTTGGTGCGTCGCTGTAATTTTTTCCCGTTGCCTCCGTTTTTTGAGGAAAGTTCGTTTCAAAGGGATTGTGAATGAACAAAGCGGGTTGTTTTTTGTCGGGTAGTCGCAGGGGGTGGTTGAAATTTTCCACGGAATGGTAATCTTGTATTTTTAATATTCGTGGAGGCCGGGAGGGCGCCGCGTAGCTGGTGTTTTGTTTGTAATTTGGCCGGAGTTCAAGGCGGGCGGACGAGCCAACCCCGGCTCGGATCCTGTTTTTCAGCGAGCAGCCCCCGGGATCCCGTTGCCGGCAGCGCGCAGATAAGAGAATTGCACTGTCAAGCCGGAATGATATATTTGACCAACATTTCCATACAGCCAGCTCGCATGAGGATTTCCAATGAAGCGAACGTGCGTAATCTCTGCGATTCGAATTAACGCAGGCACGAGCCGAGGGGTAGGCGGCGGTTATCTGCCGACGTACACCTGACGATATGTTTGAGCACGGGAAGGGGGCAGAATGACCCCGGCGTCATTACGAGAGGGGTCTTCTTGCCGCCCCATTGCGTCGCCGTCGCGCTATCCTCTTGCTCGTGACGATGATGGATTCGAAATTCTGTAGCAGCCCTCACGCACTATCCGGAAACTGGGAAGAAATGACCCGTGAATTTTCCAAGCCTGCGAGGGCCCGTGTTGATGCTGCTGGCGCAGCAGCAGTGCCGCCGCCCCGCGCTATACTGCGACACATCTGCACCAACGGACGACGACGATATTGACAGCCGCCATCGGGGACCAGAACAAAATTTCCTTTCATACTTCCTTACATGCACTTGATGAAAGGAGCACGAATTTTCTTCGTTTTGACAAACACGTTGGAGAGTTTCATTCGGAGACATTGTGGCGGAGATGAAAAGTATGTAGGCACGACATGGAACGGCGGAATTGGGGAATTTCTGATCTTGGGAGAGGGTATAATAAAACGGATAGATATAGAATCCCTTTCTGGTCGGGATTGGGTGGGAATGTGGATTAGTGGTCTCCTTCGTTCGGCGTAATAAAGTGCGTTCGGGCATTTTCCGATACCTGTAAATTGAAAAAGCGTCGAACGGTGCAGTGCACGGGAGTCTACGGCAGGGTCGAGCGTCAATACATCACGAGTTCGGGGATTACAGCTTCGCTCTTTCCATCTAACATGATACGTGCTTTATACGGCCGCCGCCTTTCCACGACAGCCGGCTCCAAGTGGAAAAGCGCACATAAATAACGCTCAACCTGCCGTGTCGCCCGTTCTCCCGGAGGAGGACGAGAAGCGCGAAAAAACTCACCGAAAAGCTCTTTTTTCCTGCGACCAAATGAAAAGTTTCCCTCGCTTTAAATTTTCACCCTCCTCACCCACAATTACCACCCTTACATTAAAAACCGCCGTCGGATCGAAGAGCCGACTGTATTGCATTGTTTGCTTCCCTGTAATGACGGGCTGATAGGATTGAAAGGCTCCGCGGTATTATTTCACGGGAGGAACGGATGTTCGAGGGTGGGAAAGGCGCAGATATGGCCTTATCGAACGACGCTGAGTCTTTAATCGACGACGATGTTATGGGTTCTATTCACCTGTGGCGCCGACCAACTTTACCAGCGCTTTTGCAAGAAAAATTTCCCACATTGATTATTTCTTTATGTTCCCGTAATGCTCCACGAGCGCGCCTAGAATTTATACGGACGTTTAACACACTTTTCGTTGGAAACGTCCTATTAAATTGACATTAAAAGCGTCGTTACCGGTGAGTAATTCAAAGGTGGCATACATGAATTATGAGCGGCTAAAGTGTAGCCGCATTATATACATACACACATCGTTATCGATACACAAAGGGAAAATTACTAGTAGTATTTTGGAGCGTTTACATTTCGGTATGCTTTCGCTCTTAAACAGGGGAATGAATTTTTCTACTGCTCTGGTTTTATATGAGGGTTATGGAATATGGTGGTCGTATGAATACTTTCGGCTCGGATCTCGTCCGCGGTATCGATTGCATCGGAATCACGCCTTGAACAAGCAGTTTTCTGTTCTAGAGCGTTAGCCGGCAATCCTCCCCGATCTCTTCTAATTGTCCTTACACGAAAAAGGCGCGTCCTCCGCCACCTGATCCATTAACCGATCGCGAGGGGTGGCTATGTCGGCGTCGGTTTCAGTCGAACGCCCGCCCACCCTTTATTCATCACGAAATGCACATCAGCCCGGAAGCCACCGAAAGATTCAGTAATTACATTTGAGCGAGCTCGGAATGTAAGCGAGCTATGCAGATCACATTTTAATGCAATTCCATCCATTATCCTGGCAGAGCCATTAACACCACCAGCCCTGATGCAATTTGGATTGTATGCGAACGAACCGCCGACGACCGTAGACTACAACAACACACTCACCTCTCTCTACATTCGGAAAGCTATCTGCTTTATTCGAATAACAAAGGCGCAATCCTGATGACATTACACGTTACATAGGACGGCGGCGGCGGCAGTAAAGCTCCGGTCGGACTGTGACGATAACGAGCCGAGGGATGAGGACATGGAATGTTCCCACAGCATCGCGCTAGGTTAGAGGTGCCATTAATTACCTGTCCGAAATGCCATCGGACAGTCGAACAATGACGTCGAGTCTGTCTGATACAAATCGCACGTTTCTTAAATGCCGACCTCGTGATGGTTGTTCGAATTCTTGGCCTTTTTGCCGTGCCATCCGATGGATCTTTCTCCGAAGACCGAATAAATCCATCAACCTGCCATATTTTTCATAATCTGAAGCGAGTAATTGTGGCGGAAGGGCGTCGTTTAACTAATTACTGTATCAGCTTCTTAATAGTCGTCGCGACGCCGGGTCGGATGTGACCCCAGAGACGTCCTCGTCCCCGTGGAAGGGTTGACGCAATCAGAACCGAGATAAAATTGAGCACCACGTATGCAAGAGGGCATCAGAAACGAGCGTCGAGGCGGCGGCGGGTGTAGAACGGTCGTTATTGTTCCGACGGTCCCTATTTTCATTTCCTGCTACAATAGTTCATTAAAAAGGTGTTTCGGAGGCTATTTGGTAAGCTATTAGGTGGCCTGATATTACTCCTCGGAGAGTCATTCGCCGGCGGCAGCATCCGACGACAATGAAACTCACTCGTAAATTGCCAGCAAGCAACAAGACGCAAGGGGGGCGGCGGCCTCGCTAACCGACGACTTCTTCAACCGACCGAATGGTGCTACTGCTGCTGCTGCTTCGGTTCGGTTGATAACGCCCGAACGCGATTTATCACAAAAGCGCATTAACCCAGGTGAACCCCCGAGACAGAGACGAACGTGAAAAACGATAATGATGAACGCGAACTTCCAACACAACACCTACGAACAGGAAGACGGAATAGCCAAAAAACCGAAACTCCATTTTCTGTAAACAACTTGCAGCATCGCACTGCTGTAAACAGACCCGTTTTAGATTACTACGTCAAAACAAGAAGCCAAAAACTCGGAAGGCGATCGATCGATCACAATCCAGAAAACATGAACTTGATAATTTTTATTCTGCTACAATTGTCACCGTTCTGGTATCGTCTATAGAAGTGGTTTCTAAACTTTTTCAAAATGATCGCCTTCTAACAAGAATTTTCTTGCCCTCTGTCGTTCAGAAACTCTTTGTTACCTGCGTCATCTACCACCAACTAACCCGACTTCTTTCTTCGTTCTTTGCGTCTTACCCTACACCCATGAGTGGTTTCTAAAGTTTTTTCAAAAGAGACCCCATTTTGACAAGACTTTTATTTTATCATTATCATTTATGAAAGCAAGCAATTAAGGTCCCAAGATCGCGCCTTGAGGTACCCCCGATTTTTGTTGAAATTTTGACGATCTGTGTCTCCTGTACTGTACAAAAAGCGATCTATTTCTGCAATATGACTCAAACAGTGTAACTGGTAACTCAATCATATATCAATCTGTTTTTCATTTCGAAGAAAAAGCTCACGATGGCAATATTTTATTAAATATTGTTTTGAGAGGATACTTTAAGGACGATTTATAATCAGTCACTATAACGGGAGGAATTAAATCTGACTCTATCATATAGAAATAAGATCGTTTTCGAGGGGTAACATCTTAAAAAATATTTTCCAGTTAGAAGTAGAACTTTTGGTGTACAAGACAAGAAATCGGAATATGAGGTTCATTTCAATGCGTTCAAGAATTCATGGAAGATTTAGCCAATTTATAGTATCATTAATTCTGAGCACGTTTTTGGAGACATGCAAATTAGTTTGCACAGTTTAAAGCAACAGTTCTGCAATTATTTCTCTAAAGAAATTCGAAACAGTTATGGTAATTACAGATGGCGACTAAATCCTTTTTTTATAGAACTCTTTTCAACGTGCTGAGATTCCGACAAACATGATATTGAAAATAGATTTTTTTTCCCAGAACCCGAATCAGTTTTGGGTACCAAAAAAAAGTGTCAAGTTTTTGGCTACATTCTATGTCTCGAAGTTGAAGATGATACTTATAGTTGTATATGTATCCAATACAGGGTCTAGATTTGAATAGTTTTTGAAAAACAAGTAGGTACATCGCATCAATAAATGAAAGAATTCACTTTGTCATTTATTTTACATCTAAGGGTGTAAATGTTTTCGTTATGTTCCGCTAGGTGAAAGAATAGTCAAGTTAATTAAATATTAAGACATTATTTTTTTCTTTGATGTTTTTACTTAGGTTCCGAAGGGTGGAAATAACTGTCTTGGTGGAGTTTTCCTTCGGCTGCCCTATCGGAAGACGATTAGAAGAATTAGGTTCGTCGTGATTAAGGTTACCCTTTTTGCGAATTTGGGAATGGCCTGGAATATGTTTCGGGTAGAATTGAAGTGCGGCAGTTAGTACGGGAGGGCGTCATCAGAATTTCGATTCTTCCGTCTCCCCTATAAATTGGTTCGAACGCGATTTATCACCGGGTCACATTAACCCAGGTGAACCCCCGAGACGGCGTCGGTAATGGCACTCGGCGTGAAAAATGATGATGACGTCGAGTCCGCCGGTGCGCCCGGAGGATCCCCGAGGTGTCCGAGGAGCGACTTCTTGGAGCGTCAAGCGAGCGTAACGGGCCGGCGTCACGGCCAAGTGGAGCACGTATTTCGGTGGCCATTTCCGGGCCGACGGACAGTAATCGCCCTCTTCAGGCTCGTAAACGGGCCGAAATGACCGGCGAGACGCCGCGGGACGGCCCTTAATGGATCCATACGACGCGAATATCGGATCCAGCAGTCGCCGTTGACTAGGACGACTAACGTGATAAATTGTGTACCGACATAATAGCATTATAAAAATCGATGACAATTAACGCGTGCGCCCGCCTCCACTCTGATGTGGCGTGGAGCGCCATTTCCAGCCGTAATCTCATTTGCAGCGCTGCCGGGGGACGAAATCTAATTAGCGCCGAAAGCTGATCGGTAATTACTACGATTAATCAATCCGTTCCCATTCCAGAAGCACTTCTTTCCGCGGGGAGACGTTCTGTGCGCATGGAAAAATCAGGAAGCTAAACGCATAGATGAACTTACCAGTTGTTGACTTGCAGTATCGTTAAACCCGTATCTTGTGCTAACTGTTTCTTCTGGTCTTCCGAAGGGTAGGGATGCTGAAACAAGAACACTCACGTTAATTTTTTCAACGAACGGATTGGAAAACCTAAACTTAAAGGACAACCATTCTTCGAATTATTATTACTGTTATAGATATTGTCATAGATCCTTTTATAGGATATATTTAATTTCCAAAATAGGTCTACAAAACTTCTAGTTCGAAATAATCCACTACTTAATCACGTATATAATAAAGAGGAGACCCAAAACCGATCTCTGTGGCAATCCCAAATAGGACACTCTGTTAGATGACAGCACCTCTGGAATAGCACCATTTACTAAGGTTCTTAATACCACCTTGAAGCTTTTATTCCGTAACTAAGATCTAAAAACATCTAAAGCTGTTCCTTTTACATGGACGTAATGGAGATTGGTCTGTAGGTGTTTATATCAAGTACACTTTCTGCGGAAAAAAGATTTGTTCACAAGTAGTTATAAAATGGTCAGGTCAGATCTAAAATCGATAATTTTTCGATATTTTATCAGCTGGATGGAAAGCTCTGTGCAGACGCTGCTGGACTCATTCGACTTATTTTTCAAGGTATTCCAAATTGCTTTAGTAAATATTGTTTTGTGCATTTAATATTACATTATTTTAACAACTTATTTTTGAGTTAAAGATGGCATTTTACGAGTTATTTTAGTTAGAGCTTTTGATTCTGCTACAAATTTGTTAGTTATCCAATTAGGATTAGGGAATACTTTTTTTATTTGCGTTCTATAGATGCAAAAAGAGATGGATTTCAAACTACAAGTACAGAAGTATGTTATTTTAAAAAGCATTTTGCAAGCAAAATTGTAAGGTGACGTCATCAAATTGTTAGTGGGGATGATTAGACAAATTTTGTTTAGTGTTTTACCATCTACACGATATTCCCAACAAACAAATAAAATTGTTCAACAATCGGTTCCATAGTTTCAGAAATTATCCCTCTACTAAAAATCGACATAGACGACGGACAGTCAGACAGAAACAGGGGAACTGTACAATTTTTATATTCGAGGGTCACTCGCCAGATGTGAGATGGACCCTAATACTGCAATATTTTCTTAGCGTACATCCCAAAAGTAAAACAAAAAAAATTGAGCGAAGTTTGTTTCCACAAAACTTTCCTCGAGTCTGAAGTACAAGTCCAACAAATCCGGCTTATTTGAAAAATTATCAAATTTAAAGCAGATAACCAACGGATAAATTTTTCTCAGCAATAACAACCTTAACTTCGAGTGTTTATATTTATACATCGAAAGAATATTACGTAGAAATTTGAGTTGAATGAATTTGTCTTCTCAATACAGAGGACTCAAATTATTTTATTATATTATTTCATCATTATTAAATAAAGATGTGTGTGTTCCCACAATTTCGAAAAAAAAAAGATCAATAAAAAATTTGTAATGACGTCATTAACTGGTATAATATTACTAGTGAAAGAGAGAGAAAAAAAAAAGGTCAAGTTTAGCATGAAACGTCCACAAAACATGAATCTGGTCAGTCGCCAGATGGATTCGATTGGTGTATTTCCTTAGCGTTCGTTCGGAAAGTAAAAACTGGTCTAAAATTATTTAGACGGAATTTCCCTCGCCCTTAAATTATCGTCCGACAAATCCGGCTTCTTTAAAAATTACAAAATTTGATTTTGTATTTTCTTTTGTGACAATCTTCCCTATAAAGTAAAAACCAGTGGCGTAATTAACACCCCCGAAGTAGAAGCCGCCGTACAAATGTGGACAATATGAAATATATTTAAAGCATATAACCAACGGGAAAAATGTAGACATTCTCAATTTCTCAGTCCATGCTTAACTTCGACTATTGATGTTTAAATTTAGAAAGAATTCGACTATTAACACGTTCAGAATACAAGCATCATCGATTAAAAGAAAATGAAATTGGTCCATCTTGTCTATTCGACGCAGATCAGAGGATTGATTAATTAATTAAACACACTTAAGATTTTTTCCCAAAAACACTCATAAACTTGAAGAATATTTATTTATTTGACAAAATGGAACGATGCCGGATAAATTTTGATTAACCATTTTTATCGTGCTTCCAATAATCTTAAAATATTTCACAGCCTTCGGTCTTTGCAATTTTAAAGATAAATTGTAGAATATTATAAAATTTGGATTTTTTTAATTCAAATATCTGGATGCCAAGAGTAAAAACTCAACACAGATTCATAAATCACACATACAGGATCATATTATTTTATAAAATTTAAAAAAAGAGCAAATTCCAAGGGGTCACACGTCTGGACAATATGAAATATCCTTAAAGCAGATAACAAACGGAAAAAATGTACATATTCTCAATTTCTCAATCCATGCTTAACTTCGACTGTTTATGTTTATATTTCGAAAGAATTCGACTATTAGCACGTTCAAATTACAACTATCAGCAGTTCAAAGAAAATGAAATTTGATCGATTTTGTCTCTTCAACACAGATGAGAGGACTGATTAATTAACCGCGCTCAGTTTTTTTTACCCAAAAAACAATAATAGCTTTGAAGAATATTTATTTATTTGACAAAATGGTAAGATGACGGACAAATCTTGATTAACTATTTACCGTGCTTCCAATAACCTTTTAAAATATTTCACCGCTTTCAGTTTTTGCAATTTCGAAGTTAAATTGTAAAATATTGTCATAAAATATTGAATTTTTCCAAAAAAACTGGATGCCAAAGGTGGTAACCTAACACAGATGTATGAAATGGATGATTATTATCCAAATCTTGGTTAAGGAAATTCCTAATACACAAGAAACAGTCCAGTATTTTCGAAGATTATCTGTCTAATAAGTTATTAGATAATAACAATTCGGCCAGACGGCAGATAGACAGACAGACAGACAATTACAAAACTTCCTTAGCTTGTGCTCAGGAAATAAAAAGTAGTCTGTGCTCAAGCATAAGTTACGAAATTTTTTTTCCAGTCTTTTTTTAAGTTAAACGAATTGTTTTCACTGAATTCTCTCTTTATCTTTACTAGTCTGTTTATACAGATAATTTTAGTTTCCAGGAGTTGGTCAGTATGATCAAACAGGTGGACTTGCATGATTCCAGCTTTATAGGTACTGACTGAAATATTATTGAATCTGTTGTCAATACATAATTTTTCGAAGAGCTTAACTTTGAAATCCCCCTAAACAATGAATAGTTTTGAATAAAAGATTTGGTCGTTAAGTTTGCAAGTCGATCTCGTCGAATTAAGAATCGTAGGCGTACCGACACGTGATCATTCGTAGTTTCGTGACCGGGCGTTCCGACGGAGGCGGGCCGGCGGCAGCAGCCGGCGGCGGCATCGTCATCACCGTCCCAATAATCGAAAATGCAGAGTAAGGACTATGGAGGAAGGCGGCCGAAGCAGACAGATTTTCCATTCAAAACACGGGCGCTCTTAAACGATAATCAAAGGATATCCTAAATCCCATTTACCGGAGGAAGATTGAAGAAGGGACGGCAGGAGCATGCAGGCGGCACGATTTTCTCGTCGAGCGGATAAGATTGTGGGCGGCGTCGTGCAGCCGATGTAAGGAAAAATGGCAGATCGGTTTGATGGGTTAATTATTTAGATTGTGAATATGACGTCCCCGCGGAGGAGGAATCTGCGGTCGTAATTCCGTGAAAAAGTGCCAGCTCGATCCATTCGTTCCCCATCACACCTCGGAAAATCTCCTTCGAGACCGATAACCCCATCTGCTGGTTCTCCAGGGCTGCATAACCCTTATGCCCGCGTCGCCTTCGCCCGCAAAAAGCCGCGATGCATAGTGATTTTTACGATTATGTTGGGAATCCGAAACGGCCGAGGATGGCGTCGTTATTTGCGTGCTGCGTGGAGATGGGAAAGCGAAGAGGGTGATCACCTTGGCGGACCCCCGGGGTGCACACACATCACTACGTTGGCGGATTTACGGCTGCAATCGCATTCGAACAGAGACGATCCGAATTCAAAGATAAAACCATAAATAACCGAACGCCATCCGTCTTCACGCACTCGCCGAGGCCGGGAAGGAAGCATAATTGCAACAATACAACGTTGCGAACAAAACGGGGAACAAAGAATGCCCCGCCGGAATGAGAGAAACACGAAAATGCCGGAGCGGCAGCGTTATAAATGATGGTTCGCGACAACGCAAACAGACGCGTGGTGTACCTACTTTTTTATGTTCCTGCGGATGAATAGTCATGATCCGAAACGCGAAATTAGCCACACGAGTGGAGTCGCTAGCGCCGTTTGCGTGCGAAGCGAAGATAACAGATCCACTCTGTCATTGGGTGACGTTATCTGAGATTGAGACGACGCAACCATGCTCGTATTGTAATTGTGGACAATTTTAAACGCGAACGGAGGTGGGATGCTTTAATTATTGCGGATGGAACGGGCCCGATTTAATGCTTGAGCAAATCCGCCCGGATTTCGGATCGGCTCCGGTAAGCAGGACACATGTCGACGGTGAGGCTCCCCTGCGGATAAACTAGGATAACGCCACCGGAAATATAGCCGAGATGCAGTCGGATCGGAAATGAAAGCTTTCCCTGAAAAAGACAAGCTTTTTTCCGGGGCTCGCGCCGATTGCTTTTCGAAATAACAGCATGGCACCGTCACGCTACGAGCCATATTGAAGTAATAACGTCATCACCAGGCAGAAGATAAAAACAATAAAGAACTCCCATTTCATAACAGGCGAAAATGTTACAGACGATCTCAAATCACACGTAAACTATTATTATTTTTACTCCCCTATTAGAAAAGATGCACTTTAATGAATAATTATAAAAACTATATCCGGAATTCTATTACATTTACATTTTTATGTAACTAGCAACTTTTAAGATCTACAGACAACGTCAAGGCTGGAGCATTGCGAGTATCAATAATTTGTACTTGTTGTAAAATAAAAATTGTTGTTTGTTTTGTTGTTAACTTTAAAGTCAAGCAGTTAGCAACATGAATAATTAATTATTGTGAAATTTTTGATGTATTTTAAG